ACACCACTCACCACCATCACACTCACCACTCACCAACACACTCACCACACTCACCACTCACCACTCACCAACACCCTCACCACTCACCACTCACCACACTCACCACACTCACCACCATCACTCACCACACTCACCACCACCACACTCACCAACACCCTCACCACTCACCACTCACCAACACCACTCACCACCATCACTCACCAACACCACACTCACCACAACCACTCACCAACACCACACTCACCACTACACTCACCACTACACTCACCACTACACTCACCAACACCACACTCACCAACACTCTCACCACTCACCACTCACCACACTCACCAACACCACTCACCAACACCCTCACCACCACCATCACTCACCACACTCACCAACACCACTCACCACCACACTCACCACTCACCAACACCCTCACCACTCACCACTCACCACACTCACCACACTCACCACCATCACTCACCACACTCACCACCACCACACTCACCAACACCCTCACCACTCACCACTCACCAACACCACTCACCACCATCACTCACCAACACCACACTCACCACAACCACTCACCAACACCACACTCACCACTACACTCACCACTACACTCACCACTACACTCACCAACACCACACTCACCAACACTCTCACCACTCACCACTCACCACACTCACCAACACCACTCACCAACACCCTCACCACCACCATCACTCACCACACTCACCAACACCACTCACCACCACACTCACCACTCACCAACACCCTCACCACTCACCACTCACCACACTCACCACACTCACCAACACCACTCACCACTCACCACACTCACCAACACCACTCACCAACACCCTCACCACCACCATCACTCACCACACTCACCAACACCACTCACCACCACACTCACCACTCACCAACACCCTCACCACTCACCACTCACCACACTCACCACACTCACCACCATCACACTCACCACCATCACACTCACCAACACCCTCACCACTCACCAACACCCTCACCACTCACCACTCACCACACTCACCACACTCACCACACTCACCACCATCACACTCACCAACACCCTCACCACTCACCACTCACCACACTCACCACCATCACTCACCAACACCACTCACCAACACCCTCACCACTCACCACTCACCACACTCACCACACTCACCACCATCACACTCACCACCATCACACTCACCACTACACTCACCACCATCACTCACCACCATCACACTCACCAACACCACTCACCACTCACCACTCACCACACTCACCACTCACCAACACCCTCACCACCATCACTCACCAACACCCTCACCACTCACCACTCACCACCACCACACTCACCACCACCACACTCACCAACACCCTCACCACTCACCAACACCCTCACCACCATCACTCACCACTCACCACCATCACACTCACCACAACCACTCACCAACACCACTCACCACTCACCACCATCACACTCACCAACACACTCACTCACCACCATCACTCACCACCATCACTCACCAACACACTCACCACTCACCAACACCCTCACCACTCACTACTCACCACACTCACCACACTCACCAACACCACTCACCACCATCACACTCACCACTCACCAACACACTCACCACACTCACCACTCACCACTCACCAACACCCTCACCACTCACCACTCACCACACTCACCACCATCACTCACCACACTCACCACCACCACACTCACCAACACCCTCACCACTCACCACTCACCAACACCACTCACCACCATCACTCACCAACACCACACTCACCACAACCACTCACCAACACCACACTCACCACTACACTCACCACTACACTCACCACTACACTCACCAACACCACACTCACCAACACTCTCACCACTCACCACTCACCACACTCACCAACACCACTCACCAACACCCTCACCACCACCATCACTCACCACACTCACCAACACCACTCACCACCACACTCACCACTCACCAACACCCTCACCACTCACCACTCACCACACTCACCACACTCACCAACACCACTCACCACTCACCACACTCACCAACACCACTCACCAACACCCTCACCACCACCATCACTCACCACACTCACCAACACCACTCACCACCACACTCACCACTCACCAACACCCTCACCACTCACCACTCACCACACTCACCACACTCACCACCATCACACTCACCACCATCACACTCACCAACACCCTCACCACTCACCAACACCCTCACCACTCACCACTCACCACACTCACCACACTCACCACACTCACACTCACCAAAACCACTCACCACTCACCACACTCACTCACCACCATCACACTCACCAACACCACTCACCACCATCACACTCACCAACACCACACTCACCAACACACTCACCAACACCCTCACCCTCACCACCACACTCACCACCATCACTCACCACACTCACCACCATCACACTCACCAACACACTCACCAACACCACTCACCACCATCACTCACCAACACACTCACCACACTCACCACACTCACTCACCACACTCACTCACCACCATCACACTCACCAACATCACTCACCACCACCACTCACCACCACACTCACCACCACACTCACCACAACCACTCACCACTACTCACCAACACCACACTCACCACCACACTCACCAACACCACTCACCACCACCACACTCACCACCACACTCACCAACACCAGCACCACCACACTCACCACCCTCACCACCACACTCACCACACTCACCAACACCACACTCACCACTCACCACCACACTCACCACCACACTCACCACCACCACACTCACCACAACCACTCACCACCACTCACCAACACCACACTCACCACCACACTCACCACCACCACACTCACCAACACCACTCACCACCACCCTCACCACCACCACCACACTCACCACCACATTCACCAACACCACCCTCACCACCATCACACTCACCACCACCACACTCACCACCACCACTCACCACCATCACTCACCAACACCACACTCACCACCATCACTCACCAACACCACACTCACCACACTCACCACCATCACTCACCACCATCACACTCACCATCACCAACACCACACTCACCAACACCACACTCACCACCACACTCACCACCCTCACCAACACCACCACACTCACCACCACATTCACCAACACCACACTCACCACACTCACCACCATCACACTCACCAACATCACTCACCACCACCACACTCACCAACACCACTCACCACACTCACCACCACCACACTCACCAACACACTCACCAACACCACACTCACCACCACACTCACCACACTCACCAACACCACTCACCAACACACTCACCACACTCACCACCACACTCACCAATACCATCACCAACACCACACTCACCACCACCACACTCACCACCCTCACCACCCTCACCAACACCACACTCACCAACACCAGCACCACCACCCTCACCACCACACTCACCACCACACTCACCACCACACTCACCACCACACTCACCAACACCACTCACCACCACCACCCTCACCACACTCACCACCCTCACCACCCTCACCACCCTCACCACCCTCACCACACTCACCACCCTCACCACCACCCTCACCACCACCCTCACCAGCACCCTCACCACCACCTTCACCACTCTCACCACCCTCACCACCACCACCACCAATTCCACCACCACCACTACCACCACCATCATCACCACCAGCTCCACCACCATCACCACCACCAACTCCACCACCACTACCAACACAACCACCACCAATACCACCACCACCACCTGTTGCTCCACCACTGCTACCATCAACACCACCACCACCAACACCACCAACACCTATCCCTTCTGATGCTGCTCATGCTGTTGCTGCTGATGCTACTGATGATGCTGCCCATGATGCTGCTGCTGATGCTACTGATGATGCTGCTGCTCATGCTGCTGCTGATGATGCTACTGATGATGCTGCTGCACATGCTGCTGCTGATGATGCTACTGATGATGCTGCTGCTCATGCTGCTGATGATGCTACTGATGATGCTGCTGCTCGTGCTACTGATGATGCTGCTGATGATGCTGATGCTGCTACTGCTGATGCTGCTGATGCTGCTACTGATGATGCTGCTGATGATGCTACTGATGATGCTGCTGCTCATGCTGCTTATGATGATATTGATGATGCTACTGATGATGCTGCTGCTGATGCTACTGATGATGCTGCTGATGATGCTGCTGCTCATGCTGCTGATGATGCTACTGATGCTGCTGCTGCTCATGCTGCTGATGATGCTACTGATGATGCTGCTGATGATGCTACTGATGATGCTGCTGCTGATGCTGCTGCTGATGCTACTGATGATGCTGCTGCTGATGCTGCTGATGCTGCTACTGCTGATGATGCTACTTATGATGCTGCTGATGATGCTACTGATGATGCTGCTGCGCATGCTGCTGATGATGCTACTGATGATGCTGCTGATGATGCTACTGATGATGCTGCCCATGCTGCTGCTGATGATGCTACTGATGATGCTACTGATGATGCTGCTGATGATGCTGCTGATGATGCTACTGATGCTGCTGCTGATGCTGCTGCTGATGCTGCTGATGCTGCTACTGCTGATGCTACTGATGATGCTACTGCTGATGATGCTGCTGATGATGCTACCGATGATGCTGCTGCTCATGCTGCTTATGATGATATTGATGATACTGCTGATGATGCTGCTGATGATGCTACTGATGATGCTGCTGCTGATGCTACTGATGATGCTGCCCATGCTGCTGCTGCTGATGCTACTGATGATGCTGCTGCTCATGCTGCTGATGATGCTACTGATGATGCTGCTGATGATGCTACTGATGATGCTGCTACTGCTGCTGCTGATGCTGCTGCTGATGATGCTACTGATGCTGCTGCTACTGCTGATGCTACTGCTGATGCTGCTACTACTGCTGCTGCTGTGGGTCAGGCGGTCTCGACTACCTCATCCTGAACCACGTGGGCCTGACCCCGATCAGCTGGTGGGCGGGCGACGTGGAGGCCACGGATCAGCTGGTGAGGGCCACGCGCCTCAACTTCCTCAGCTTCGCCTGGGCCGCATCGGAGGCCCTGGGCCCGCTGGAGACGAGCGGGGGAAACATACTAGCAGTGTCATCCTTGTGCGGTGAGTCTCACCGCACCACGTGGTGGTGTGGTGGGACCCTGCCTGGTGTGGTGAGACTCTGCCTGGTGCGGTGAGCGGGGGAAACATACTAGCAGTGTCATCCTTGTGCGGTGAGCGAGGAGTCTCACCGCACCACGTGGTGTGGTGGGACTCTGCCTGGTGTGGTGAGACTCTGCCTGGTGCGGTGAGCGGGGGAAACATACTAGCAGTGTCATCCTTGTGCGGTGAGCGAGGAGTCTCACCGCACCACGTGGTGGTGTGGTGAGACCCTGCCTGGTGTGGTGAGACTCTGCCTGGTGTGGTGAGACTCTGCCTGGTGTGGTGAGACTCTGCCTGGTGTGGTGAGACTCTGCCTGGTGTGGTGAGCGGGGGAAACATACTAGCAGTGTCATCCTTGTGCGGTGAGCGAGGAGTCTCACCGCACCACGTGGTGGTGTGGTGAGACCCTGCCTGGTGTGGTGAGACTCTGCCTGGTGTGGTGAGACTCTGCCTGGTGCGGTGAGACTCTGCCTGGTGTGGTGAGACCCTGCCTGGTGTGGTGAGCAGGGGAAACATACTAGCAGTGTCATCCTTGTGCGGTGAGCGAGGAGTCTCACCGCACCACGTGGTGGTGCGGTGAGACTCTGCCTGGTGTGGTGAGCGGGGGAAACATACTAGCAGTGTCATCCTTGTGCGGTGAGCGGGGAGTCTCACCGCACCACGTGGTGGTGTGGTGGGACTCTGCCTGGTGTGGTGAGACTCTGCCTGGTGTGGTGAGACTCTGCCTGGTGTGGTGAGACTCTGCCTGGTGTGGTGAGACTCTGCCTGGTGTGGTGAGACTCTGCCTGGTGTGGTGAGACTCTGCCTGGTGTGGTGAGCGGGGGAAACATACTAGCAGTGTCATCCTTGTGCGGTGAGCGAGGAGTCCCACCGCACCACGTGGTGGTGAGACCCTGCCTGGTGTGGTGAGACTCTGCCTGGTGTGGTGAGACCCTGCCTGGTGTGGTGAGACTCTGCCTGGTGTGGTGATGGGACTCTGCACGGTGTGGTGGGACTGTGCCCGGTGCGGTGAGACTCTGCCTGGTGTGGTGAGCGAGTCACACCGCACCGTGTGGTGGTGTGAGACTCTGCCTGGTGTGGTGAGACTCTGCCTGGTGTGGTGAGATTCTACTCGGTGTGGTGTGACTCTGCCTGGTGTGGTGGTGTGACTCTACCCGGTGTGGTGAGACTGTGCCTGGTGTGGTGGTGAGACTCTGCCCGGTGTGGTGAGCGAGTCACACCGCACCGTGTGGTGGTGAATCTCTGCCCGGTGTGGTGAGACTCCGCCCGGTGTGGTGAGACTCTGCCTGGTGTGGTGAGACTCTGCACGGTGTGGTGGTGTGACTGTGCCCGGTGTGGTGAGACTCTACCCGGTGTGGTGGTGAGAGACTCTGCCTGGTGTGGTGTGACTCTGCCCGGTGTAGTGGTGAGACTCTGCCTGGTGTGGTGAGACTCTGCCCGGTGTGGTGGTGAGACTCTGCCTGGTGTGGTGAGACTCTGCCTGGAGTGGTGAGACTCTGCCTGGTGTGGTGAGACTCTGCCTGGTGTGGTGAGACTCTGCCTGGTGTGGTGAGACTCTGCCTGGTGTGGTGAGCGGGGGAAACATACTAGCAGTGTCGTCCTTGAGCGGTGAGCGAGGAGTCCCACCGCACCGTGTGGTGGTGAGACTCTGCCTGGTGTGGTGAGACTCTACACGGTGTGGTGTGACTCTGTCTGGTGTGGTGTGACTCTGCCTGGTGTGATGAGACTCTGCATGGTGTGGTGAGCGAGTCACACCGCACGGTGTGGTGGTGAGAGACTCTCTCTGGTGTGGTGAGACTCTACTCGGTGTGGTGAGACTGTGCCTGGTCTGGTGTGACTCTGCACGGTGTGGTGAGACTCTGCCCGGTGTGGTGGGGAGACTCTGCCTGGTGTGGTGAGACTCTGCCCGGTGTGGTGGTGAGACTCTGCCTGGTGTGGTGAGACTCTGCATGGTGTGGTGGTGTGACTCTGCACGGTGTGGTGAGACTCTACCCGGTGTGGTGAGACTCTGCCTGGTGTGGTGTGACTCTGCCTGGTGTGATGAGACTGTGCCCGGTGTGGTGAGACTCTGCCCGGTGTGGTGAGACTCTGCCTGGTGTGGTGAGACTCTGCCTGGTGTGGTGGTGAGAGACTCTGCCCGGTGTGGTGAGACTCTGCCTGGTGTGGTGAGACTCTGCCCGGTGTGGTGAGACTCTGCCTGGTGTGATGAGACTCTGCCCGGTGTGGTGGTGAGACTCTGCCTGGTGTGGTGAGACTCTGCACGGTGTGGTGAGACTCTGCCTGGTGTGGTGAGACTCTGCCCGGTGTGGTGAGACTCTGCTCGGTGTGGTGAGACTCTGCCCGGTGTGGTGAGACTCTGCCCGGTGTGGTGAGACTCTGCCTGGTGTGGTGAGACTCTGCCCGGTGTGGTGAGACTCTGCCTGGTGTGGTGAGACTCTGCTCGGTGTGGTGAGACTCTGCCAGGTGTGATGAGACTCTGCCCGGTGTGGTGGTGAGACTCTGCCTGGTGTGGTGAGACTCTGCACGGTGTGGTGAGACTCTGCACGGTGTGGTGAGACTCTGCACGGTGTGGTGGTGTGACTGTGCCCAGTGTGGTGAGACTCTGCCTGGTGTGGTGAGACTCTGCACGGTGTGGTGAGTCTCTGCCCGGTGTGGTGAGACTCTGCCTGGTGTGGTGAGACTCTGCCTGGTGTGGTGAGACTCTGGCTGGTGTGGTGTCCTCCCCCGTGTCTCCCCCCGTGTCCCCCCCGTGTCTCACCCCCCGTGTCTCCCCTCCCCCGTGTCCCCCCCGTGTCTCACCCCCCTGTGTCTCTCTCCCCGTGTCTCCCCTCCCCCGTGTCTCCCCCCCGTGTCCCCCCAGGCAAGGTCCCCACCCCTCTGGTCTCCCCGTGTCTCACCCCCGTGTCTCCCCGTGTCTCACCCCCGTGTCTCCCCCGTGTCTTCCCCCCCGTGTCTTCCCCCCCGTGTCTCCCCCGTGTCTCCCTCCCCCGTGTCTCCCTCCCCGTGTCTCACCCCCCCCGTGTCTCCCCCCCCGTGTCTCCCCCCCCGTGTCTCTCTCCCCTCCCCCGTGTCTCTCTCCCCCCGTGTCTCCCCCCGTGTCTCCCCCGTGTCTCCCCCCGTGTCTCCCCCCCCAGGCAAGGTCCCCACCCCTCTGGTCTCCCCGTGTCTTCCCCCCCGTGTCTCCCCGTGTCTCCCCCCCCCGTGTCTCCCCGTGTCTCCCTCCCCCGTGTCTCCCCCCCGTGTCTCCCCCCCCAGGCAAGGTCCCCACCCCTCTGGTCTCCCCCCGTGTCTCCCCCCCCGTGTCTCCCCCGTGTCTCCCCCCCCCGTGTCTCCCCGTGTCTCCCTCCCCCGTGTCTCCCCCCGTGTCTCCCTCCCCAGGCAAGGTCCCCACCCCTCTGGTCTCCCCCCCGTGTCTCCCCCCCCGTGTCTCCCCCGTGTCTCCCCCCCCCGTGTCTCCCCGTGTCTCCCTCCCCCGTGTCTCCCCCCGTGTCTCCCTCCCCAGGCAAGGTCCCCACCCCTCTGGTCTCCCCCCGTGTCTCCCCCCCCGTGTCTCCCCCCCCGTGTCTCCCCGTGTCTCCCCGTGTCTCCCCCCCGTGTCTCCCCCGTGTCTCACCCCCCCCGTGTCTCCCCCCCGTGTCTCCCCCCCCAGGCAAGGTCCCCACCCCTCTGGTCTCCCCGTGTCTCACCCCCCCGTGTCTCCCCGTGTCTCCCCCCCCCGTGTCTCACCCCCCCGTGTCTCCCCGTGTCTCCCCCCCCCGTGTCTCCCCCCGTGTCTCCCCCCCCGTGTCTCCCCCCCGTGTCTCCCTCCCCCGGCAAGGTCCCCACCCCTCTGGTCTCCCCGTGTCTCACCCCCCCGTGTCTCCCCGTGTCTCCCCCGTGTCTCCCCCCGTGTCTCCCCCCCCGTGTCTCCCTCCCCCGTGTCTCCCCCCGTGTCTCCCCCCCCAGGCAAGGTCCCCACCCCTCTGGTCTCCCCCCGTGTCTCCCCCCCGTGTCTCCCCCCCGTGTCTCCCCCCCGTGTCTCCCCCCGTGTCTCCCCCCGTGTCTCCCTCCCCAGGCAAGGTCCCCACCCCTCTGGTCTCCCCGTGTCTCACCCCCGTGTCTCCCCCGTGTCTCCCCCCGTGTCTCCCCCCCCCAGGCAAGGTCCCCACCCCTCTGGTCTCCCCCCGTGTCTCCCCGTGTCTCCCCCCGTGTCTCCCCCGTGTCTCCCCGTGTCTCACCCCCCCCCCCCCGTGTCTCCCCCCCCAGGCAAGGTCCCCACCCCTCTGGTCTCCCCGTGTCTCCCCCCACCGTGTCTCCCCCCGTGTCTCCCTCCCCCGTGTCTCCCCCCGTGTCTCCCCCCGTGTCTCCCCGTGTCTCCTCCCCGTGTCTCCCCCCCCAGGCAAGGTCCCCACCCCTCTGGTCTCCCCCCGTGTCTCCCCGTGTCTCCCCCCGTGTCTCCCCCGTGTCTCCCCGTGTCTCACCCCCCCCCCCGTGTCTCCCCCCCCAGGCAAGGTCCCCACCCCTCTGGTCTCCCCGTGTCTCCCCCCACCGTGTCTCCCCCCGTGTCTCCCTCCCCCGTGTCTCCCCCCGTGTCTCACCCCCGTGTCTCCCCCGTGTCTCCCCCCGTGTCTCCCTCCCCAGGCAAGGTCCCCACCCCTCTGGTCTCCCCGTGTCTCCCCCGTGTCTCCCCGTGTCTCACCCCCCCCCCCCCCCCCGTGTCTCCCCCCGTGTCTCCCCCCCCAGGCAAGGTCCCCACCCCTCTGGTCTCCCCCCGTGTCTCCCCCCCGTGTCTCCCCCCCGTGTCTCCCCCCCGTGTCTCCCCCCGTGTCTCCCCCCGTGTCTCCCTCCCCAGGCAAGGTCCCCACCCCTCTGGTCTCCCCCCGTGTCTCCCCCCCGTGTCTCCCCCGTGTCTCCCCCCGTGTCTCCCCCCCCAGGCAAGGTCCCCACCCCTCTGGTCTCCCCCCGTGTCTCCCCGTGTCTCCCCCCGTGTCTCCCCCGTGTCTCCCCGTGTCTCACCCCCCCCCCCCGTGTCTCCCCCCCCAGGCAAGGTCCCCACCCCTCTGGTCTCCCCGTGTCTCCCCCCACCGTGTCTCCCCCCGTGTCTCCCTCCCCCGTGTCTCCCCCCGTGTCTCCCCCCGTGTCTCCCCGTGTCTCCTCCCCGTGTCTCCCCCCCCAGGCAAGGTCCCCACCCCTCTGGTCTCCCCCCGTGTCTCCCCGTGTCTCCCCCCGTGTCTCCCCCGTGTCTCCCCGTGTCTCACCCCCCCCCCCCGTGTCTCCCCCCCCAGGCAAGGTCCCCACCCCTCTGGTCTCCCCGTGTCTCCCCCCACCGTGTCTCCCCCCGTGTCTCCCTCCCCCGTGTCTCCCCCCGTGTCTCACCCCCGTGTCTCCCCCGTGTCTCCCCCCCGTGTCTCCCTCCCCAGGCAAGGTCCCCACCCCTCTGGTCTCCCCGTGTCTCACCCCCGTGTCTCCCCGTGTCTCCCCCCGTGTCTCCCTCCCCAGGCAAGGTCCCCACCCCTCTGGTCTCCCCGTGTCTCACCCCCGTGTCTCCCCGTGTCTCACCCGTGTCTCCCCGTGTCTCCCCGTGTCTCACCCCCCCGTGTCTCCCCCCCCAGGCAAGGTCCCCACCCCTCTGGTCTCCCCCTACGCCGCCTCCAAGTTCGCCCTGGAGGGCTTCTTCGGCTCCCTGCGCCAGGAGCTGAAACTCCGTCACTCCAACGTCTCCATCACCATCGCCACGCTCGGATACATCAACACTGGTCAGGGGGGCTGGGGGGGGGGGCTGGGGGGGGCTGGGGGGAGGGGCTGGGGGGGAGGGGCTGGGGGGAGGGGGGAGGGGCTGGAGGCTGGGGGGAGGGGGGGAGGGGCTGGGGGGAGGGGGGAGCTGAAACTCCGTCGCTCCAACGTCTCCATCACCATCGCCACGCTCGGATACATCAACACCGGTCAGGGGGGCTGGGGGGAGGGGGGAGGGGCTGGGGGGGGCTGGGGGGGCTGGGGGGAGGGGCTGGGGGGAGAGGCTGGGGGGAGGGGCTGGGGGGAGGGGGGAGGGGGGAGCTGAAACTCCGTCGCTCCAACGTCTCCATCACCATCGCCACACTCGGATACATCAACACCGGTCAGGGGGGGGAGGGGCTGGGGGGAGGGGCTGGGGGGAGGGGCTGGGGGGACGGGCTGGGGGGAGGGGCTGGGGGGAGGGGGGAGGGGCTGGGGGAGGGGCTGGGGGCTGGGGGCTGGGGGGAGGGGCTGGGGGGAGGGGGGAGCTGAAACTCCGTCGCTCCAACGTCTCCATCACCATCGCCACGCTCGGATACATCAACACCGGTCAGGGGGGGGAGGGGCTGGGAGGGGCTGGGGGGGCTGGGGGGAGGGGCTGGGGGGAGGGGCTGGGGGGAGGGGCTGGGGGGAGGGGCTGGGGGGAGGGGCTGGGGGGAGGGGCTAGGGGGAGGGGGGAGCTGAAACTCCGTCGCTCCAACGTCTCCATCACCATCGCCACACTCGGATACATCAACACCGGTCAGGGGGGGGAGGGGCTGGGGGGAGGGGCTGGGGGGACGGGCTGGGGGGGGCTGGTGGGAGGGGTTGGGGGAGGGGGGGAGGGGCTGGGGGGAGGGGCTGGGGGGAGGGGCTGGGGGGCTGGGGGGAGGGGCTGGCGGGAGGGGCTGGGGGGAGCTGAAACTCCGTCGCTCCAACGTCTCCATCACCATCGCCACACTCGGATACATCAACACTGGTCAGGGGGGGGAGGGGCTGGGGGGAGGGGCTGGGGGGAGGGGCTGGGGGGAGGGGGAGGGGCTGGGGGAGGGGCTGGGGGGAGGGGCTGGGGGCTGGGAGGGGGGAGCTGAAACTCCGTCGCTCCAACGTCTCCATCACCATCGCCACACTCGGATACATCAACACTGGTCAGGGGGGGGAGGGGCTGGGGGGAGGGGGGAGGGGCTGGGGGGAGGGGCTGGGGGGAGGGGCTGGGGGGCTGGGGGGAGGTGGGAGGGGCTGGGGGGCTGGGGGGAGCTGAAACTCCGTCGCTCCAACGTCTCCATCACCATCGCCACACTCGGATACATCAACACTGGTCAGGGGGGGGAGGGGCTGGGGGGGGGGGCTGGGGGGAGGGGTTGGGGGGGGGGGAGGGGCTGGGGAGGGGCTGGGGGCTGGGGGGAGGGGCTGGGGGGAGGGGCTGGGGGGAGGGGGGAGCTGAAACTCCGTCGCTCCAACGTCTCCATCACCATCGCCACACTCGGATACATCAACACCGGTCAGGGGGGCTGGGGGGGGGCTGGGGGCTGGGGGGGGGCTGGGGGGAGGGGCTGGGGGGGGAGGGGCTGGGGGGAGGGGCTGGGGGGAGGGGCTGGGGGGAGGGGGGGAGGGGCTGGGGGGAGGGGCTGGGGGGGCTGGGGGGGATGGGGGGAGGGGGGAGCTGAAACTCCGTCGCTCCAACGTCTCCATCACCATCGCCACGCTCGGATACATCAACACCGGTCAGGGGGGGAGGGGCTGGGGGGAGGGGCTGGCGGGAGGGGCTGGGGGGAGGGGGGAGGGGCTGGGGGAGGGGCTGGGGGCTGGGGGGAGGGGCTGGGGGGAGGGGCTGGGGGGAGGGGGGAGCTGAAACTCCGTCGCTCCAACGTCTCCATCACCATCGCCACACTCGGATACATCAACACCGGTCAGGGGGGCTGGGGGGGGCTGGGGGCTGGGGGGAGGGGCTGGGGGGAGGGGCTGGGGGGGCTGGGGGGAGGGGGGAGCTGAAACTCCGTCGCTCCAACGTCTCCATCACCATCGCCACGCTCGGATACATCAACACTGGTCGGGGGGGGGGGCTGGGGGGGCTGGGGGGAGGGGCTGGGGGGAGGGGCTGGGGGAGGGGCTGGGGGGAGGGGGGAGCTGAAACTCCGTCGCTCCAACGTCTCCATCACCATCGCCACGCTCGGATACATCAACACTGGTCAGGGGGGGGAGGGGCTGGGGGGAGGGGGGAGGGGCTGGGGGGAGGGGGGAGGGGCTGGGGGGAGGGGCTGGGGGGAGGGGCTGGGGGGAGGGGGGAGGGGCTGGGGGGAGGGGCTGGGGGGAGGGGGGAGCTGAAACTCCGTCGCTCCAACGTCTCCATCACCATCGCCACACTCGGATACATCAACACCGGTCAGGGGGGGGCTGGGGGGGGGGCGGCTGGGGGGAGGGACTGGGGGGAGGGGGGGCTTGGGGGAGAGGGGGGGGCTGCTGCTGATGACGATGACACTGCTGATGGCGAAGACACTGCTGATGACGATGACACTGCTGATGACGATGACACTGCTGCTGCTCATGATGATGACACTGCTGATGACGATCACACTGCTGATGACGATCACACTGCTGATAGTGACGATGACACTGCTGATGATGACACTGCTGATAGTGACGATGACACTGCTGATGATGACACTGCTGATGATGATGATGACACTGCTGATGATGATGATGACACTGCTGATGACGATCACACTGCTGATGACGATCACACTGATGATGATGACTGCTGACGATGATGATGACACTGCTGACAATGATGACACTGATAATGATGATGACACTGATGATGATGATGACACTGCTGATGATGACGATGACACTGCTGATGATGACGATGATGATGACGATGACACTGCTGATGATGACACTGATGATGACGATGACACTGCTGATGACGATGATGATGATGATGACGATGACACTGCTGATGATGACACTGATGACGATGACACTGCTGATGATGACACTGCTGATGATGATGACACTGCTGATGATGACACTGCTGATGACGATGACACTGCTGATGACGATGACACTGCTGATGATGATGATGACGATGACACTGCTGATGATGACACTGCTGATGATGACACTGCTGATGATGATGACACTGCTGATGATGATGACGATGACACTGCTGCTGCTGATGATGATGACACTGCTGATGACGATGACACTGCTGATGATGATGACACTGCTGATGATGACACTGCTGACGACGATGATGATGATGATGATGACACTGCTGATGATGACAATGATGATGATGACACTGATGATGATGACGATGACACTGCTGATGATGACACTGATGATGATGATGACACTGATGATGATGACGATGACACTGCTGATGATGATGATGACACTGCTGACAATGATGACACTGATAATGATGATGACACTGATGATGATGATGACACTGCTGATGATGACGATGACACTGCTGATGATGACGATGATGATGACGATGACACTGCTGATGATGACACTGATGATGACGATGACACTGCTGATGACGATGATGATGATGATGACGATGACACTGCTGATGATGACACTGATGACGATGACACTGCTGATAATGACACTGCTGATGATGATGACACTGCTGATGATGACACTGCTGATGACGATGACACTGCTGATGACGATGACACTGCTGATGATGATGATGACGATGACACTGCTGATGATGACACTGCTGATGATGACACTGCTGATGATGATGACACTGCTGATGATGATGACGATGACACTGCTGCTGCTGATGATGATGCCACTGCTGATGACGATGACACTGCTGATGATGATGACACTGCTGATGATGACACTGCTGACGACGATGATGATGATGATGACACTGCTGATGATGACAATGATGATGATGACACTGATGATGATGACGATGACACTGCTGATGATGACACTGATGATGATGATGACACTGATGATGATGACGATGACACTGCTGATGATGATGACACTGCTGATGATGCCACTGCTGACGATGATGACACTGCTGATGATGACGATGACACTGCTGATGACGATGACACTGCTGATGACGATGACACTGCTGATGATGATGATGACGATGACACTGCTGATGATGACACTGCTGATGATGATGACACTGCTGACGATGATGATGATGATGACACTGCTGATGACGATGACACTGCTGATGATGATGACGATGACACTGCTGCTGCTGCTGATAATGATGACACTGCTGATGACGATGACACTGCTGATGATGATGACACTGCTGATGATGACACTGCTGACGACGATGATGATGATGATGACACTGCTGATGATGACGACGATGATGACACTGCTGATGATGACAATGATGATGATGACACTGCTGATGATGACAATGATGATGATGACACTGATGATGATGACGATGACACTGCTGATGATGACACTGATGATGATGACGATGACACTGCTGATGATGATGACACTGCTGATGATGACACTGCTGATGATGACACTGATGATGATGACACTACTGATGACGATGACACTGCTGATGATGACACTGCTGATGATGATGACACTGCTGATGATGATGACACTGCTGATGATGACACTGATGATGATGATGATGACACTGATGATGATGACGATGACACTACTGATGATGATGATGATGACACTGATGACGATGACACTGCTGATGATGATGACACTGCTGATGATGACACTGATGATGATGACACTGATGATGATGACGATGACACTACTGATGATGATGATGATGACACTGATGACGATGACACTGCTGATGATGATGACACTGCTGATGATGATGACACTGCTGATGATGATGATGATGACACTGATGACGATGACACTGCTGATGACGATGATACTGCTGATGATGATGATGACACTGCTGCTGATGATGACACTGCTGATGATGACACTGATGATGATGACACTGCTGATGACGATGACACTGCTGATGATGACACTGCTGATGATGACGATGACACTGATGATGACACTGCTGATGATGATGACGATGACACTGCTGATGATGACACTGCTGATGATGACGATGACACTGCTGATGATGACACTGCTGATGACGATGACACTGATGATGACACTGCTGATGATGATGACGATGACACTGCTGATGATGACACTGCTGATGATGACGATGACACTGATGATGACACTGCTGATGATGATGACGATGACACTGCTGATGATGACACTGCTGATGATGACACTGCTGATGATGACACTGATGATGACACTGATGATGATGATGATGACGATGACACTGCTGATGATGACACTGCTGCTGATGATGACGATGACACTGCTGATGACGATGATGACGATGACGATGACACTGCTGATGATGACGATGACACTGCTGATGATGACACTGCTGATGATGACACTGATGACGATGACACTGCTGATGATGACACTGATGATGACGATGACACTGCTGATGATGACACTGCTGATGATGACACTGCTGATGATGACACTGATGACGATGATGACACTGCTGATGATGACACTGATGATGACACTGATGATGATGATGACACTGACGATGACACTGATGACGATGATGACACTGATGACGATGATGACACTGCTGATGACACTGACGATGATGACACATGATGATGACACTGACGATGATGACACTGCTGATGATGACACTGATGATGATGACACTGATGATGATGATGATGACACTGACGATGATGACACTGATGATGACACTGATGATGATGACACTGCTGATGATGACACTGATGACGATGACACTGATGATGATGACACTGCTGATGATAACAATGATGATGATGACGATGACACTGATGATGACACTGCTGATGATGATGACGATGACACTGCTGATGATGACACTGATGACGATGATGACACTGATGATGATGACACTGCTGATGATGATGACGATGACACTGCTGATGATGACACTGCTCATGATGACACTGATGATGATGACACTGCTGATGACGATGACACTGATGATGACACTGCTGATGATGATGACGATGACACTGCTGATGATGACACTGCTGATGATGACGATGACACTGCTGATGATGACACTGATGACGATGATGACACTGATGATGATGACACTGCTGATGATGATGACGATGACACTGCTGATGATGACACTGCTGACGATGACACTGCTGATGATGACACTGATGATGATGATGACACTGATGATGATGACACTGATGATGACACTGATGATGACACTGATGATGACACTGATGACGATGATGACACTGACGATGATGACACTGATGATGACACTGCTGATGATGACACTGATGATGACACTGATGATGACACTGATGATGACACTGATGATGATGATGACACTGATGATGACACTGATGATGACACTGATGATGACACTGATGATGACACTGATGATGATGACACTGATGATGACACTGATGATGACACTGCTCATGATGACACTGATGATGACACTGATGATGACACTGATGATGACACTGATGATGATGATGACACTGATGATGACGATGATGACACTGACGATGATGATGACACTGATGATGACACTGATGATGACACTGATGATGACACTGATGATGATGACACTGATGATGACACTGATGATGACACTGATGATGACACTGATGATGACACTGATGATGATGACACTGATGATGACACTGATGATGACACTGATGATGACACTGATGACGACACTGATGATGATGACACTGACGATGATGATGACACTGATGATGACACTGATGATGACACTGATGATGACACTGATGATGACACTGATGATGATGACACTGATGATGATGACACTGATGATGACACTGATGATGACACTGATGATGACACTGATGATGATGACACTGATGATGATGACACTGATGATGACACTGATGATGACACTGATGATGACACTGATGATGACACTGATGACGACACTGATGATGATGACACTGACGATGATGATGACACTGATGATGACACTGATGATGACGATGATGACACTGATGATGACACTGACGATGATGATGACACTGATGATGATGACACTGATGATGACACTGATGATGACACTGCTCATGATGACACTGATGATGACACTGATGATGACACTGATGATGACACTGATGATGATGATGACACTGATGATGACGATGATGACACTGACGATGATGATGACACTGTTGATGACACTGATGATGACACTGATGATGACACTGATGATGACACTGATGATGACACTGATGATGACACTGATGACGATGACACTGCTCATGATGACACTGATGATGACACTGATGATGACACTGATGATGACACTGATGATGACACTGATGATGACACTGCTCATGATGACACTGCTCATGATGACACTGATGATGACACTGATGATGACACTGATGATGATGACACTGATGATGACACTGATGATGACACTGATGATGACACTGATGATGACACTGATGATGATGATGACACTGATGATGACACTGATGATGACACTGACGATGACACTGATGATGACACTGCTGATGATGACACTGATGAAGAGGATGACACTGCTGACGATGACACTGATGATGATGACACTGCTGACGATGATGACACTGATGATGACACTGATGATGACACTGATGATGACACTGATGATGACACTGCTCATGATGACACTGATGATGACACTGATGATGACACTGATGATGACACTGACGATGATGACACTGATGATGACACTGATGATGACACTGAGGATGACACTGCTCATGATGACACTGATGATGACACTGACGATGACACTGATGATGACACTGATGACGATGATGACACTGATGATGACACTGATGATGACACTGACGCTGACACCCCGCATCCAGACACGGCCGTGTCGCAGGTGCAGGGCCGCATGCTGGGGGTCGAGCCGGCCCCCGTGGGGCCCTGCGCAGAGGCCCTGGTGGACGCCGCGTGCGCCCGGGTCGACTCGCTCGTCCACCCGGGAGTCGCCCGCGTCGCCCTCCTGCTCCAGCGCTGGGCGCCCGGCCTGCTGCTCCACCAGCTGCAGGCCGTCTACAACATCACAGCCCTCGGACCGCCGCCCACATTCAGCCCCAGTGGCCCCTAGGGAGGGACACCCACCATCCCCTCCCTCATCATCATCATCGTCCACCTCCTCATCATCCTCCTCCTCCTCCTCCCCGTGTCTCCCTCTCCCCGTGTCTCCCTCTCCTCCTCCTCCTCCACCTCCCCGTGTCTCCCTCTCTTCCTCCTCCTCCTCCCCGTGTCTCCCTCTCCCCGTGTCTCCCTCTCTTCCTCCTCCTCCTCCCCGTGTCTCCCTCTCCCCGTGTCTCCCTCTCTTCCTCCTCCTCCTCCCCGTGTCTCCCTCTCCTCCTCCTCCCCGTGTCTCCCTCTCCCCGTGTCTCCCTCTCCTCCTCCTCCTCCACCTCCCCGTGTCTCCCTCTCCTCCTCCTCCTCCTCCTCCTCGTGTCTCCCTCTCCCCGTGTCTCCCTCTCCTCCTCCTCCTCCCCGTGTCTCCCTCTCCTCCTCCTTCCCGTGTCTCCCTCCTCCCCGTGTCTCCCTCTCCTCCTCCTCCACCTCCCCGTGTCTCCCTCCTCCCCGTGTCTCCCTCTCCTCCTCCTCCACCTCCCCGTGTCTCCCTCTCCCCGTGTCTCCCTCTCCTCCTCCTCCTTCCCGTGTCTCCCTCTCCCCGTGTCTCCCTCTCCCCGTGTCTCCCTCTCCTCCTCCTCCTCCTCCCCGTGTCTCCCTCTCCCCGTGTCTCCCTCTCCTCCTCCTCCTCCACCTCCCCGTGTCTCCCTCTCCTCCTCCTCCTCCTCCTCGTGTCTCCCTCTCCCCGTGTCTCCCTCTCCTCCTCCTCCTCCCCGTGTCTCCCTCTCCTCCTCCTTCCCGTGTCTCCCTCCTCCCCGTGTCTCCCTCTCCTCCTCCTCCTCC